TTTTTCCCCCCCTGTCCCAGGAATCAAACTCATGACCTTGTGCTTGCCAGGCAGGTGCTGTGCCGCTGAGCTAAATCCCTAGCCCCACTATCGGTTTCTTGATTTCTCCATGTTTATCTTAAACTTGCCCTTCACCCAGACTTCCTGCGTGAATAAACGTCAGCACCACTTACCCATTTACTAAAATCTGTGAGTCTTCTATTTTTTCCCCTACTCCACATTTAATCCATTAGCAAGTCTTCTATACTCAAAATTAGTTCCAGATTGGACAACTACCTAGCTCTTCCGTGATCTGATGACAAACATCCAGTTTGCCCACTCTGAACACCATAACCCTACTGGTGAGGATCTTTGGTCTTACTGCTCTGTTGGAATATTTTTTTGTTCAGATCTTATCTACCTCATGTTGTGTCGATCTTGGCTTCACTCTCAGTTGCTCAGAGGCCATTTCAAACGACTCTACCTAAAAGAACTTTCCATGACTCTGCCTTTCTTGGTTACCAGTGCCCTTGTTCTTTCTGGCCCTTGGTATTTACTGGTATATCGCTCATCTCCCATGAGCATGTAAACATTATAAGAATAGCTATTTTGTCTTACTCCTTGACACACCTGTGGTTGTTTAGGCAAAAACTTATACACAGTGGCCAGCAAACATTTATTGCTTAAATTGTGGATTATAAGGCATGCAACACATACATAGCGAAGTGCTAGGTTGAGTTGTTAAGTGTGTGATTGACTAGTTACAAGCTATTCTGAGTCTTTGTTCAGGATAACCTGACCAAAATTCTGTCTTACGAAAGTATAACAGTAGTACAGCTGTTAACGTTAAATATTCATCGAGGTCCTATAAAATTATTTTAATTTTTAAGGAAAGTCTATTTTGAGGCTTAGTGTAATGCAGTCTGGTTTATATAAACTGTTAAACAGTTCTATTACTGTGATATCTTATGTAAAATGTAGTTTATTTTACCCCTTAAAATTACTTTAGGAGCCACACATTCTGGCACATGTCTGTAATTCCAGTTGTCAGCAATCTTAGGCAAGAGGATTGTAAGTTCAAGGCCAGTGTAGGCTGCATAACAAGTTCAAGGTCATCCTGGACTACACAGAGACTAGCTCAAAGACTCTGGAAAAAAAATCAGTATTTTGGGGCTGAGGATCTAGCTTACTCGTAGTGCGCTTGTCTAGCATGTGTGAGGCCCTGCGTTTAACTCGCGGGGTGGGGGAAAAAGTCCAGAGACCAGCAACTCAGTATTTTAATAAAGAATAGCTTTGTGTTTTGTAATCATCAGTGTCCCCCTCCCAATTTTAAAAGTGATCTTAATGGGCAAATTAGAAAATCACTTCCCTGTCCTGGCATTTATGAGAACAATGCTTGGCTCTTACAAGGACTGATCCAAAAGTATGGTTTGTGTTTAAATTTTTAAAACTTCTTTATTACAGTAAAAGACATGTTGCTGTCAGTTCCCCTCAAAATGTCCCCCTTCATGTTGAACACACCCCATTTTTCTTGCCACTTTGTGAAGCAGTTCTGGAAATCCTCTTTTGAGTCTTTATGAGGTGCTATTAAAATACATTGAATCCCACTGACAAGTACCATCCAGTGGAAAGTGAGGCTTATGTTCTCACATACTTTATTTCACTGGGGCTGACACCATGCACTGTCTGCCTCGTCCACAAAGTCATAAAGACCGCAAAAGGTAAACGTGTTGAATCAGTTCAGGATATGAAGGCAGCCGGAACAACACAACTAAGGACAGTCAGGATAAAGGTCTCACAGAACTGCTTCAGGCAGTATCAAGAGTGTTAAGTATGTTTAACAAAGCAAGGAGGAATATTTTGGAAGGATTAATAACAATGTCTTTTGTTATAACTATTTTTATAATTTAAATGTTCACCATAGTTTTTTTTTTTTTTGGTCTTTTTGAGACAGAGTCTCGCTGTGGAGTTCAGACTGGCCTTGAGCTCACCTTGTAGCCCAGGCTGGTCTCAACTCCTAAAAGAAGTTCTTTTTTTTTTTTTCTTTTTTGGTACCGGGAATTGAACTCATGACCTCAGGCTTGCCAGGCAAGCGCTTATGCTGCTGAGCTACATCCCCGGCCCTTCACCATAGTTTTGACCACTGCATAGTATACAGCTTAGTAAATATTTAAAGGGAAGCACTTTTGAAAAAACTGAAGGATCGACTTAGCTTTCTAAGCTACTTATTTTTGTTTTGTTTTTAAAAGATGCACAATTTGAAAGTGATGAGCGAATTACACCCTTGGAATCGGCTCTGATGATTTGGACTTCAGTTGAAAAACAGCATGACAAACTTCATGAAGAAATACAAAATTTAATTAAAATTCAGGTATGAGTATTACTTTGTGCTTGTAGTTATTACTCTTTTGCTAGAGCATGAAAAAATATAACATCCAAGGTAAGTTAAACCCAGAGTAAAAATTCAGTCTTTTTCTTTAGAAATTTGACCTTTGATTTGTAGTCTTGACCAGACCAACTTAGTACTATATTTCATACTTGAATGTATGTTAACCGCATATTGTAGGAAATACAGGATACTGGATCTGTTTAAAGATTACCAAGCAACCTTCAAAAACCAGAGATTTGCCGGGCATGGCAGCACACGCCTGTAATCCCAGCACTTGGGAGGCTGAGGCAGGAGGCTCCTCAGGATCCTGAGGAGGATCATTTTTGAGTTGAGACTAGTCTACACTACAAAGTGAGGTCAAGGCCAGCCTGAACTGCACAGTGAGACCCTGTCTCAAAAAGACAAAAAAAAAAACCCCAGAGATTTGTGCCCTCTCAGTTTCAATGTAAGGGTTACACATATGAAAAAACATAGATAATTTTGTTTGTGAGTTATTTGGTGCTAGGGTTTGAATTGAGGGTCTCTAAATGTGCACTGTGTAGAAGTTAGCATTACTGTGCTGATATAGTACCCCGCACCCACAATTGGAAGGAAGAACGATTTAATTTGGCTCACATCTCAAGGTGGAGAAATGATGCTTAGTTCATGGTGGCCAGGGGGCAAAGCCAAGAACAGTACTAGAGGGAGGGACAAGAGACCAAACTCAGACCCCAAATCCGCACTTTCATGACGCACCCAGACACACTCAGAAGTGTGTTCCACCAGTCCCAACCTTTACTCTGCCTGAGCCGCCACATGCTGTGTCACTGAGATGTACCTTAGCTCATTGTTGCTAATAAATAATAGATCATTGGTCTTTGTGAGCAAGAGATGTAAAATGTTAACCATGTTAAGAGGATTTTAATAGATTGAGAAGCCAAAAAGTCATTGAAAGATGTACTAGAAAAAAATGTTTTCTTGGCAGTCAAAACAAATACTGTGGACTTTTCTCAACTAAACTTTTCCTCCGTTTTTTAGAATTAAAAAAATAATTTATGAGTTAGACAGGACAGAAAGGCCAGGTGATTTCCGTCCTTCCCGAGAATTAGTGTAGTGACTGCCAAGTAGAACTGAACCCTGAAGAGGAGGGAATGGGCAGAAAAATGGCCGCATCTTGGAGGAATTCAACTCAGGACAAAGGTGTTTCATTTTGCCCCGTCTTTGGGGGCCCTGGAGGAAGCCGGCCATACTACTTTGCTGCTGTAAAGCTGGAAGGATAAAAATGCCAACTCGGTAAAGTAGTTATACTGTTATTTCTACTATTTTATATGTAAAGAAACTGAGGCAGCAGGCGGTTAAGTAGCCTGCCAAATTTACATAACTACTCAGGTGGTGATAGTCCTTCTGTGTCTGAACACATTGTGGTATCAGCCAGTGTGTAAAATCATCACGTATCTGACTTGCTAGGCTTCGAGTGGAGATTTTCTGAGGATCCTGCCTAGTGAATTTTACCATCATGAAAAGCATCTATGTCCTCCCTGATTTGTCTTTTACTGAAAATTAATATACGGTAAACTCCTGACTTATGAACAAGTTCCGTTCCAGGACAGTGTTCAGAAATCAGATTTGTTCGTAAGTCCAACAGAGTGAGTCTTACATTGCACCTTTGACACAGATATACAATGTAAAGCATTAAAAAGCCAGTGCAAGGTCCATTTGCAACTTCAGTGTTCGTAAGTCAGAGATTTACCTTAGTAAGTGAGTCCTGAATATCTGTTAGTTAATTTCTGATTTACTAATGCCATCTTTTAGTTTGGCCTAAGTTAGAGGTGGAATACTGAACACTTACTAGTAGATATTCCCAGGACAAGTGAAATTTTTTCATATTTCATTTTTCTGTCTTGTCAAGCCATAGATATTTCATCTTTAAAAAACTGCTACTTATCAAATAAAAATTATGAAACTCATGAAGAAGGTATTTTGGCAGTACTAGGTATTGAACTCCGGGTCTTCACACTGAGCTACATCCCTAGCACCTTTCCTCTTTATTTTGCGGCAGGGTCTAACTGAGCTTTTTTTTTTTGTCTTTTTTGAGGCAGGATCTCACTATGCAGTTCAGGCTGCCTTGAGCTCACTTTGTAGCCCAGGCTGGCCTCGAACTCGAACTTCTGCCTCAGCCTCCCGAGTGCTGGGATTACAGGGGTGCGCCGCCACGCCCAGGCCTTGACTAAGCTTTAAATGCCCAGGCTGGGCTCAAACTTGGCCTTCCCCTGCTAGCCTTCCAGAGTGCTGGATTACAGGCTTGCACCACCATGCCTGGCATAAGAGAATATGTTAAATAAAGTATTTCAGACATATTTATTTCCATAGGAATAATTATTACATATTTTAAAAAATAGTCTAAGATGTGTATTTGTCATTTTGTCTTCAAGGCTGTAGCTGTTTGTATGGAGCATGGCAGTTTTAAGGAAGCAGAAGAAGTTTTTGAAAGAATATTTGGCGACCCATATTGTCACACGGTAACTGCTTAAGTTAAAACCATAGAATTTTAGAACTGTTTATATGGAATGAGGAAAACTGAAAGGAAATTGAAAGAGAAAAAGATTACTTTATCTAACCTAATACGTCAAAAATATTTTAACACTAAATTGACATAAAATTCATTGAGGTATTTTACATGTCTTTTTTGTTTCAAATCTGCGAAATCCGGTGTGATTTAACGTGTGGTGTGTATACATTCACACTCACCAGTGCAAGGTTCTGGCAGCTGTGTGTGGCTAGTGACCCCCATAACAAGCAGCACAGGTGTAAAAGAAGCTGTTGCAACTCGCTTGTTTTTCTGGAGTTTCTTATGCGATCATTAGTGTGCGTGTGTGTGCATGTGCAAAACGTTAAGGTCAGTCGGCCTCAATTTTTAAAATACTAGTGTTTTGGAGTGAGTTAAGCATATTTAAAGAAAGAAAAAATAGTTTATATGTATTTCTTTTTTTAGAGAAATTTTTATTGAACATAAGCATATCTGAAAAATCCATGTGTCATAGAGTATAAGTAGCTGTGTTTTAACAAAAGGAACACATTAGTGTGAGGTGCCCCCAGACCAGAAACAGCCTCAGCAGCACCCTCCAGTCACTTGAGAAAGTACCTTCTCGAGGGGAACTACTACCTAACACCACTGAAGGTTATTTTCACTTGTTTGTGAACTTTTTAGAATGGAATCATATAGCAGGTTTTTATTTACGTTATTTCCAGTTTGAGATGATATTGTTTTTGTTTTGTTTTGTTTTGTTTTGTTTTGTTTTGCATTCTTGGGTATTGGAAAGTTTTCATAGTTAAAGAAATCATTGACTGTTAATACAGTGAACAGCTATTTATCATTCATCTATAATTTTATTCCAAGTACTGGGGATTGAACCCAGGACCTTCACACTACTACAGCTCCTGCCCCTTTTTTCATTTTTCACTTTGACGGAGTTTTTTGCTATGTCACTAGGTGTCCAAAGCTCGACTTGACCTTGGGATCTTCTGCCTCAGCCTCCTAGAGTGCTGGGAGTATGAGCATGTACCACCACACCCAGCTCATCTATATCATATTTATATGTCTTATGTAGGATAAAAGTATGCATTTCTATTCAGTATGTACTTACGACTACAATTCATGATTGATAGCTATATACATACTCAGCTGTTCATTTATTTGTCCTAAACTGGCCTTAAATTTGAGATCCTCTTGCCTCAGCCTCCTGAGTAGCTAGGATTACAGACATGCTGTGCTACGCCTGGCCTCATTTATTCAGTCTTTAAGGAAGTTCAGGCATGGCAGTTACTCCCCATTCACCTCATAAAGAATGTGGCTGTGAGCGTGTGCATCAAGGTACAGCACTCAGGAAGTGACTGTGAGTGTACTGAGACCTCTTCACGCCCTTGACAGGTATTCAGTTGTAATTGATACCACCAGACAGGTTTGCCAGGTAGTCACGGCAACCCCTCCAGTAGGGTGGGGGTGGTTCAGTTGCACCATAGACCTTCTCTGTAGCTTTCATTTCAGTCATTCCAGCAAATATGTAGTGCTGTCACACTGGGTTTTAATTTCTCTGATGACAGTAAGGTAGAGCACTTTTTGATACGCTAGTACATAGAGTTGAAAGGAAATTGCAGCTTGGGTAAGGTTTTGTCCATCACTAATGTGACCTTGCTGCTGGCATGTGCTCCTGTTGTGATTTCAGGTGCTATGTCTTGGGTTCCTTGCCTCCCTGTCTTCTCTTCAACATTATACACTATTGAAAGCTCCACTCTTGTATCTTCTAAAGGAAGAAAAAGACGAGGCATGGTAATGCAGACCTATAATCCAGCTACTCCCGAGGCTTAGGCAGGAGGGTTCTAAGTTTGAGGCCAACCTGGGCAACATAGGAGACTGTCTCAAAATAAAAAGGGCTGGGATGTCGCTCAGTGCTAGAAGTGCTTGCCAGTGTGCACAGGGCTCTGGGTTGAGTCTTCAGGATGGCCGCGAGGGAGGAGGAGGGACAAGGAGAGAGACGCAGGGAGGAGGAAAGGGAGGGAGGGAACTTACATCCAGTAAACATTTAGAGAAAGTGTTTGACGTCACTAATGCCTGTGAGGGCAACACCAAGTACAGTTATGTATGGGAGTACAACTTCCCATCCTTCAGACTAGCGGTTACTAAAGTGCCTTAAAGCACTAGTGGTTCAAAAAATGGAGAAATAATTAGACTGTCTGCCATAAGTTCATTCCTAGAGTGTAAATTTGTGCATAAACTTGGAAGACCATTTTAGCAAAATGTACAACCATGCCCTCCAGCCAGTTGCACTTCCAGAGATCCTCCTGACATACCTGTCTTTGCTTGTACTTCACATTTTTAAAGCCATGAAGGCGTAAACACAAAAATAAAAGCCCAGGCCTCATTGAGACAGTTGGTCTGGTATCAAGCCCAGGCTTTATAAGTTCTGTAGTTTTTGCCAGGCAGGGTGGCACATACCTGTGACCCAGTGTCTGGGGAGCTAACTCAGGAGAGCCCAGCCTGGGCAACTTACTGCTCAGTAAGACCTTGTCTCACAAGAAAAAAAGGTTGAGGTTGTAGCTCAGTGTTAAGGTCCTAGATTCAACCCCTAGCACTACCAGGATGGGGAAAGAAGGAGAATACATATGATATCCAGCATTGATTGAACTACTCTTCAAGAAAAACTTAGGCTGTACATGAGAAAGAGATACAGAAAAATCATCTTAGAACCAGCCAAACAGTACTATGGATACATGCATGTGGAGTGCAAGTATAAAGGAGTTTATGAGAATGGTAAATTCTAAATTCAGGGTAATGGTGACAGGTGAAGGAAGGGAATGGGATACAATCAGATTATGGTAGTAAACATTACTGATAAATTTTTAAATCGTTACTGTTTTGTTCTATTTTGTTTTGAGACAGAGCCTTGCTAAGTAGTCCAGGCTGGCTGGAGCTCACTGTGTAGCCCAGGCTGGCCTGGGACTCACAGTGATCCTGTTGCCTCAGCCTCCCAAGTGCTAGGATTGCAGGCATGTGTCACCACGGCGGGCGATAATGTTTTATTTTTAAACTGAGTAATGGGCAGTCAGTGTTTTGGTTTAGTTTGGGTTGGGTTAGGTTTTTTGGTTTTTTTGTGCTGTTGCTGGCAT